TACTTCATCTCTATCCAACTTCCTAAGTCGATATGCATCATAGAATTTTACACGTCTTACCTTATGTTGTATACGTTATCATCTATTGTTTAAGTCAAACCAATTGTATTTTTGTTATTATCTACAACTACTTTTCATGAAAATACTAAATTTTGAAATTTAGATGAGAGAAAAGAAATATTAATAAACTAGTCTTGGATTGAAGAGATATTTTTCTTTCATTATACAATGGAAGAAATAAGGAGAGAGCGAGTAGGAAAATGAATAGTGAAAACGCGAGAGTATGAATTAGAAATGGTAAAAAAAAAAGAAAAGAGAGAGATTCGGAGGATAAAGAGGAAAAGTTGAGAAGCAGACAAACTTTATGTGATGAGATGGTAACGTGGATCGAATATCCTCACGTTCACACTATCCCATTGGACACAGCACGAGGCCTCCACACGCCCCTACATCTGTCCTCAATCTCAGCCCTCCACGTGTATCTTCATCCAACGGTGACCACACGCCTTTTCCCTCTTATTTAAACCCTTTGTTCTTCCTCCTTCTCTTATCATCATCATCATCTTCCACAACAACAAATCTCAGGCGGCTCTAAACCCTCTCTTCTTCTTACAACGATGGCCTCAAGGGCATTCTCGTCATTTGCCACTAATCCAGCTCCGTCTCCCAGGTCGCTACTCTCCCATGGTGGCGCTTCTCCGGCGGTTTCTCTCGGGTTCTCGAGGAAATCTGGAGGAGGCAGAGCAGTGGTGGTTGCGGCGGCTACGGTGGATACAAACAATATGCCGATGACCGGAGTTGTGTTCCAGCCGTTTGAGGAGGTGAAGAAAGCCGATCTAGCCATTCCGATCACATCTAACACCTCACTCGCTCGCCAGAGGTATGCCGACGTTTGCGAGGCAACTATTAACGAGCAAATCAAGTAAGCATCATCATCAATCGAAGCTTTGAAAAGAATGAATTTTTTTGTTTAAAAGAGTAGATCTAAGTAACGGAGGTTGATTTTGTTTTTTACAGTGTGGAATACAATGTCTCGTATGTGTACCATTCAATGTATGCTTACTTCGACAGAGACAACGTTGCTCTCAAGGGACTAGCCAAGTAATTTATCTTCTACCTCCAAATCTTAATCCAAATAAATAAGAGATAAACATTGCTACAAAACTTGGTTTTATAATTATAATTACCAGATTTTTCAAGGAATCAAGTGATGAAGAAAGAGAGCACGCAGAGAAGTTTATGGAGTACCAGGTTTGCCATTTCTTCCATTTTTGTTATGTTTAATGTTTTTAAAGCAAAGTTTGAAAAGATTAGTGATTGATGGTTTGTTTGTGTACTGTATAGAACAAAAGAGGAGGAAGAGTGAAACTCCACCCGATTGTCTCACCTATCTCAGAGTTCGAACATGGTGAAAAAGGAGATGCATTATATGGTAAAATTATTTGTTTTTAAACACAATCTTAATCCTCAAATAGAGCTTTATTAGTTTACTAATCTTTTANTTTTTTCAGCAATGGAGTTGGCTCTTTCTCTTGAGAAACTCACTAATGAGAAGCTTCTAAACCTTCACAGTGTAAGTTACCTAGCTTATCTATTTGGTCGTCAAAACTCAAAAGACAACTTTGTAATCAAATAAAACGTCATTTTCCATAACCTTTAATTAACATTATACTTTTGACCAACAAAACAGGTGGCTTCAGAGAACAATGATCCCCAGTTAGCTGATTTCGTTGAGAGTGAGTTTCTTGGAGAACAGGTGAGTTTTGTTTGTTTTTGTTTGGATTAGAACTAGGGACTTGAAATTACCTGCTTAACCCTAACATGTTCTGATTCGAATAATTCTTGAG